TTACTTAAAATAACTACATTGCAAAAAACAATGGTTCATGTGTGAGTCATAAATTAAACAATGCCAATTTCTGATGTGTTCCATATTTGTATAAAGAAAACACCTTCTTGGATTAAATGGTCAACATCTGGAATCCATGTGAGAGACTTAAAAAATCAGTTTTGCATTTTCTTAAGTTTTCCCTGCATAGGAAGAAGTCCAAAATGGAGGCAAGCTTTACAAAAAGTTCCTTGCATCATATATTCCTGCAAGAACATTACTTTGTGGGTACAAAAGCTTAAGTCAAAGAAAAATAAATTCAATCCCATTACTGAGAATACCTAGAGAGTCTAAGTCTTTTGCTTTTCTTTACTCTAGATTTTCTAATTGTGTAGAATACAAAGGTAGTGGAATGAATAGTTGTCTTCCAAATAGTTGTCTTCTCCTAACCCATGAAACCTGTGAATGTGACCTTGAGGAAAAAAGGTCTTGCAAATACAATTAAGAATTTTGAAACATGTCCATGTTGAATTCAGCTCTAACACAGTGACAGGTGTCCCTTAGATAAAGAGGGAAATTTGAGATGCAGATTCACAAGGGAGAACACATTAAGGGAGAACATTTGTACACAGGGGTAGAGACTTGGAGTCATGTAACCTATGTCATAAAACCATGAGGAGCTAGAGGAGGCAACTTTCTAGATCCAACGGGAGGAGCATGAACCTTTAAACACTTTCATTTTGGGTTTTTGGCCTCCATGCTGAGAGAATAAATTTGACCCACCCAGTTTGTGATAATTGTTACAGCAGCTGTAGGCAACCATATGGTTATTCAATGATTAATTGAAATAGAATTCATGAAATATTATGAAATATTATATACCATATCTATTCAAATTTGACGTGATTTTTTTCAGCTCTCAATTAACATCAAGGATTTGATGCTTCTGCTTTGGGTTTAAGTAGCATTACAGGCTTTCCAGCTCAGCTCTTTTAACCTTGGAATGTTCTGATCCCAAAATTATCATTTAAGCAACTTTAAAAGAATATCCGTAAAGTTATGAGAATGCTAAACTAAATGAACAAACCAGCCTTACTATTTCAGCCCTCAAAGTGCTAATAGATGACAGATCTTCCTGAATGTGATGCATGTTCACTTTGTATATGATAAAACAAGCTGAATGAAGAATAACTTGGGCTGCAAAGCATAATTACAAAAAGCAGATCATTATCATCACATTATTAAGCTTGCTACTGGCAGTGCACTGAAATCTAAGCATGCACCTATACCCCTTTGGACTTTTTGGATGGGGTATATTCTAAAAAGCTTCATGGTGGCTTTTGGAGAAGAGATTTTTCCTTGGTACATTTGATATTCTTTTTCAACATCACTGAAAGTATAGCACCAAACATCCTCAATTTTTTATTCTGCCTTATTTACTAAGGGTTCACTTAGTTAGGAAAACATTATAATCATCAGATTAGTTTTCTAAGTACAAGTTCCTACTATCATTTATTTCATGATCTGTCATCTCCTAGCCTTTAATCTGGCCCACCACAAGAAAAGAAATAACTATAAAGAAATATTATGCAGCCATTACAAGTAATGTCAAGTAATTTTTAATGATATGGGAAAATGTTCCGGGTACAAAGTTGAGTAAAAGAAGCCATAAAAACTGGGCATACACTATGATCCAAATTTATTTAGGTCCATCTATTTACATACACATGTATTCAAAAATGAAAATTTTTCAGACCAAAGTTGCCTGTCTCCAGATGGTGAAATTACACATGAATTTTTCACTGTTCACTGTGCTTCCAAGTGTGCTTCTTCATAGCCCAAAAATTTAATTTTAAAAATGCTGTTTAAAGTTTTTAAATTGTTATTATAGTGAAAGTTTTTTTGCATTAGTCCCCCTCAAAATATTTCCCCTCACTTTGAACACATTAATCCCAGCATTGTTGCCACTTTCCGGAGCAGTTCTGGATGCCTTCCCTCATGAGCATCATTAGTTGTGTTGTGGCTGCCTTGGTCTTCTGAATCAATTCAAAACCTTTCCTTTCCATGGTCATTTCAGGAACAGCCAGAAGTCACACAGTGCCAGATCCAGTGAATAAGGTGCATAAGGACACACCATAATGTTTTTACGAGCCTACCTTACCAATGGATGGTGGTTAGAACAGCATTTTTTTTTTAATGACACCTTGTAAAGACACTCAGGAAAGAGGACATGAAGAATTGCTTCAGAAAGTAACTATAACAATGGGATTAAGCATGTTTGAAGGAAGAGTATTGAGAGGCATTAAGAGCAATGTGTCTTTTAATGTTATAGTTTTTAAAAGTTAAACATTTGCTGAATATTTGATCACCCCTGCAATGTAACGCAACCCTAAAAAAGAGCTGGAAATTAAGAAACATTTTTGTGGGACAAGTGCCATGTCCTTATGAGAGTTGTTTACTTCAGCAATGGTTTGAAGTAGACAGAAATTAATCCTGCAACATTTTCTTTGTACATTCAAAAACACTCATTATCCTGATTTCCCCTACTTGCATTAATTTGCTTTTTCTTCTCTCTTCCTCTGAGAAGATAGAAAAAAGTAGCCAGGATGCACTATGAACAAAAGCTACCACACTCCTGACGCTACTTGGGAGCACTCTGGCCAGGAGGAAGGACAGCACAGAAAACAAACAATGATGAGTAGGTTTGTACAGTCTGAATAGCAGAAAATTTAAGAAATCTGCCACTGCAAATGGAGAACTGGAGTTTTTGGAGGATGTGAGATTTTTTGGCCACAAATTCACTGGGTCCCACCAACATGGAATATTTCAAAAGTTGTTTTGTAAGAAGACTAATTTATAAGCTCCATGAGAGCAAGGCCCATGCTCTTCCTCCCATTTGCTGACATAAAGGTTAGAATAATGCTTCATACATAGTGCCCAATAAGTATTGAAATTTAGAAAGAAAGTTTGTGAGAGTTCACAGTTAGAGAAGCAGTGTCTAACAAGCTTAGGAACACAGTGGAATAAGCTTCTTTATGCTAATGGCCAACAGGGCTGGATGGAGTTGCGGGCCATCAAGGGATGGCTGGGTCATGTTGCTCAACAGGGAGTACGTAGCTTTTAAAAGGAGGCATCACAAAGGGGAGTGAAAGGGGAAAGAAAGAACAACTGTAGATTGGACAAGCATATTTATTTATGATTTTGTACATGAAAAGTAAAAAAAAAGTAAGTGTACTGGTTCTCAGGGTTGGGGTGGGAGGCATGGGTGTTTAAGGAGTGTGTCTAAATATATGTTCATATCCAAAACTTGCTGGAAGGTATAGCATCATCATGTGTATGGATTCTTAAAAAAGTCTGAAAACCACTAGATTAAATAAGTGTGTTTCTCATTAAAGCCACTTTATTACAAAGAAAACAAAGCTTCCTTTTAGAACATGAATGATTGCCAGAAATTTAGCTCAGTGGCACTGCACCTGCCTTGCAAGCCCAAGGTCCTGAGTTCAATCCCTGGTACAGGAAAAAAAAAAAAAAGGTTTGATATAGACATGAATGATCACAGCCTCACTGTCCCCAGAGGATAATGCCTAACTTGTTTATATATTTCCAACACTAACTATTCATAAAGACAAGAGATGCTGCTCACCATGTATTCCTTCTTATCTGCTTAAGATAAAATCCATTAGACAATTTCTTTTGAAAACTTTGAAATGTTTGGACCTCCAGCATTCTGTGGTCCTGGTGCTAAATTAATTAGAATACTATTTGTCTACAAAGGTGACAACAAACATGCTAGTATATATTTTCCTGACAGGTCATTTAAGCAACAATTATGACAGATTACACCATTTTTCCAATCTGGGTAATCAGATGGCTTTGACAGGTTTCTCTCATTCAAGTTTTAAGTTATTCTCAAGAAACACTGACCACAGATGAGCCCTTAATAATTTACTACTGTTTATGGCTTCAAAGTTGAAGACTTGCAATTCCTTGCTTTTCTTAAACTTCAAAAATCTCACAGAAAAGAAAATACTGAAAAAGAAAAAAAAAAAAAACCTCAGTTACGAGAACGTAAAATATAACATGTTTCTAAATTTATTTAGTCAATCTCAGCACAACTTCCAAAGTGCATCTCTTATTAGGCATCTCATAGCTACCTGAGCACATCTCACAGTGCTATACAGGCCATGGGTCAGTAAGATTTCACGACCTGAAACTTGACTGTTAGGGTCCAAATCCCTTTTAACCTCATGACCTTGGAAAATCACCCCAACTACACTCTGCCTCTACTATATATTATCTCAGTAACAAGAATCCTGACAGTAATATATATTTTGCACATCATGGGGTTACTGCTATGGGCATTAAGTTCATCCACTGTGTACATTTATAAAGAAAAAAAAGTAAGTCATTTTAAAACAGCTTTTTAAATTTAAATTGTCAGCAGATTCCTACTTCACTCCCCACAAGGTGCTAAGACAAACTTCTAAGATGATTTTTTGAAGTAAAAGGATCATGTGATAGATACCAGTTAACATATATCACTTCAAATTCTGCTCATAAAGTAATTTCCTGGTACTGATTAAAACAATCATCCTCTGAAATAGTACTTTTTCTAAATACCAAAGCTTCAAAGTCTATGGCTGAACAGGTAAGCAAATTAGAAGCCACCCTCATCACATAGCTTGCTAACAAAATGCCACATAATTAACTTCTAGTAATGTTTCTTGTCCACAGATTAATGACAGCTTAATTCGAAACCACATCATTTCCTTTTTCAGCTTCATTTCCTTCAAAGTGAAACATAATTTTTTCTTGGACTTGGATTTATTTCTGGATTAACTAAGCAAATTGTTACCAGAAATATAGTTTTACTAAAATACTAATTCAGTCAAAAAACATAAACCATCTGTGTAGTGTTTGTTCATATAAAAAAAACCACACACATATAAACACACACACATATCTATATATCTATACCTACAAATAGATAGATAGATAGATAGATAGACAGACAGACAGACAGACAGATGTCAACTGAGTGGAAAATTGAGCTTGTAACTACAAGCACAAACGGAAATACTCATAGATCCCATCAGTATTGTTTTTAAGTACAACTGGGAACATTTTAAGAACTGTGACATCATAGCTTTCTTTATTCTTGGCCAGAGGTCCCCAAACTACTTGGCACAGATTTTGTTTGGCTAACACCATATCTGAAAATGTACTAAACTCAAATATCTATCTTTAGGTGAGCCATGACCTCTATTTATCTGATAGGCCCTTAAAGGCATTTATTTTATTTTGCAAACTCTACTGTACACCTATTCCTACAAAAAGAAGATCAAAATAGTTTAACTCACTGATGGCCTTACTCAGTCCTGAGACTTAGAAATTAAAAATATCAGTTACATTCAGAAATTCTAATTTTCTAGTTGGGGACTATTTTAAATATACATATTCTGTGTATGTATCTAACTGTGGCTATCTGTTTAGGATTCCTGAGCTGTTAAAACTCAATGAAGATAGATACCAAAAGAAACAAGAAAATGGAAAATATCTTTAAACATATTCTTGTGGTACGAAAATATGAATCAAGGTCCAAATTTTACATTATTTTTTTAAAAATAACATTTTGTCAATGGTTTTTCTTCCTAAAAAAGAAAATGAATATTCCAATGCACTATTTAAAGATAAACTAGTTTCTACTAATGTATTTTAATGAATATTTACATACATATACACACAGAAACACACACACACACACACACACACACACACACACACAAACATACACATATACTCAGAGCAGGGCCTGAGCCAAAGCTTCTTCATATTCTTTTCAGTCCCAATATACTGAATTTTCTGGGAGATTCTATTCCATTTACAAATTAATCCTGAGTGTAGGGCTAAATAAGAGAATACTGAAATAGATTTCCTAAAACATTAGTTTATGCATCATTCCAAAGCTGTTAGGTTTTAGGTATCGGTGAGGATAACTGGCTTTAGAGTTCAAACATTACTGGCTATGTGTTCTTTTAAATTAACTTGGAAGACTGCTTCCATTCAGACAGCTGCAGTAAGCACACCTTGGTCTCCAACTTCTTCCTTAGAGCACAAATACAAGGCACCGTGCAGTGAATTTTCTTCTGGTGGCAATGCCTGTGAACTCTCCTGGATTAGTCTTTCTGCAGGTTCTGGAGAATTTTCCCCCCATCTTGGGCTCGAGTGCTGTTGGGAGACTTCCCATACTGAAGGGCATGGAGAAGTCAAATTTAGAGCAGATCGTGAGAGGGGATCCTCTTGAAGGCTTACTTCTGGGACACACCTGTTGGAAAGCACTTCCTTTTCTTTGGAATTCCGCCACTTCATCCTTCTGTTCTGAAACCAAATTTTCACCTATTGATAAAATAATTGGACAAAATAATCACTTATTCCAGGTTATTTCACTTTTTCATTTTATTTATTTATTGTTTTTTTTTTTTATGGTTCTGGAGATCAAACCCAGGAACTCACTGCATGCTTGGCAAGTGCTCTACCCCTGAGCTGCACTGTAGCCATTTATTTTAGCATTTTAAACTGCAACTACTTCCCTTCTACAGAATATCTTATTCAAGAGCCAATCTGGAAAAGACCTATGGCTTTTCACATGGACACCAGAAATATTTGAGAAAGTAATATAATATCCCCACACACACACTTCCAAGAAAAAGCAACTGTGGTAAACTGGTTACATTCTTTAAATCTTATGTCTTTCAAAATTGATTTAACTTTCTTAGGTATTTTGAAATATCATTTAGTCCATTCTAAATCATTTATTGAAAGGATATGTACTGACTAGTAAGAGCAGCTGAGTGTTTATTTTGTGCCAAACAAGAGGCCATATATTCTAGGTGGATTTATAATTTGATCCTCACAGTGATTGTAAGAAGTCTTCATTTCATGTTTTTTTTTTTTTACATGTGGTTTAGAGAAATTAACCAGCTCAAGGTCATATAAGCTAGTAAAACGAAAGCATTTGGACTACAATCCATGACTGTCCAACCTCTGGGCCCAGACTCTTCTAAGCATGCAAATCTCATCAGAAACCTTTAGAAACTAAATTAAATATATATTTTATAATGGTTTGGTAAATTATAAGCTTCCTGAGGTCCAGACTACAGATTCATCCCAGATTTATCAAAACTATGGTAATTAGGATCAATAAATAAAAATAAATTGTAATTAGGTCAAAAGTACTTATGATGGTGGTTCCTGATTTAATCACACCTTTTCCCAAAGCACCTAGCTTGATTCTCCTTTGTTTGTTTGTTTCGTTTTTTGGTTGTGGTGGTGGTTGTTTGAGACAGAGTCTCACTATGTTGTCAAGACTAACCTGGAACTCACTATGTAACCCAGGCTGGTCTCGAACTCACAGAAATCCTCCTGTCTCAGCCCCCCAAGTGCTGGGATTACAGGCGTGTGCCACCACCCCTGGCTTTATTCTCTTTATTATTAGCCACACTCTTAATCCACTATGTACTTAATGGTCCCTGAGCAGAAAACTTCCCAATTGACTTTGTGATCCCCAGAAAGCCAATCACATTCTTTTCCTGTATATTACAATATATCCTTAACTAATATTTAATTTCTAATAAAACAAAAACTGGCAAAATTTTATCTGAAGAAATAATTATTACAGTATATCAACCAAGTCAAGGAAAAAGTTCAGAAATGGGCCCTCCCAGATTAACAAAACAATTTCCTCATTCTTTCAGTCTGACTGGCAATCTGCAGAACGAGTGAAAAGAAATCTACCTCAGGCAAATGTGTGAAAGACTACTGTCCCAGTTACATTCCTATGATTAAGGATTTGTATAATAAAACAACTGTAAAGTATACATACCAAAGCATTTGGTTCTATTCATGAACTCATTTATTATTTACAATTGGCATTTAATCCTAGAAAGCATGTCAAGGTATTTCTAATGGGATTCCACTGCAAATTTTCAGATAGATTAAGTAATTAACCAAAAACACAAAACAATAAAAGTTCTAGAAGAAAAAAATAAGAGATTATAATTATATGTTGGTTGAGACAACAGTTTTCTTAAGCATGTCATCAAACACTGAGGCCACAAGAAAAGGATAAGGTGACTGCATAAAAATGAGAAATTTCTGCAGAAACATGCATACTATAAAAAGTTACAAACTATTCAAAATAATAAAAGCATGGAGGCAGAGATATTTGTTCAGCTAAAATCAGAGCAGCATTATTTGCAATAGCAAAACAGTGGATGCAATTATATCAACAGATGAATGGCTAAACAATGTGGTATATTCAGACAATAAACTTGTTATTCAGTCTTAGGAAGTAAATCTTGACTCATGCTAAATGAACACTGAAGATATGCTAAGTGAATTCATAAAACAATCATAAAAAGATAAATGCTGTGATTTTATTCATATGAGATTTACTTAGGGAAGGAATTCACAAAATATAATGATAATTGTTAGGAATAAAGAGAAGAGGGAAATAAAGAGTTACTGGTTTTTTGACAGAGTTTTCATTTTATAAGATGAAAGAGTTCTAGAAGTGGATAGTGGTGCTGGCTGCACAGCAAAGTGAATGTACTTAATGCCACTGAACTGAACACTTTCGAAAAATGTTAAAAGGTAAATTTTATGCTATATATATTTATATGCCTGCTCTCTCTCTCTCTCTCTCTCTCTCTCTCTCTCTCTCTATATATATATATATATATATATTAATTACAACTTTAAATCCCCAAAAATGTAGGAGAGGATTTTTTCAATATCTGTAACAGGAAAATCTGACTTGCCATAATATTTCAAATATTTTGATTAACATCCAAAATAACTGCTACATATCAAGAGAAAGAAGATATGACAGGGCCAGGGATTTAGCTCAGCGGTTCGGTGGCCTGCCTTGCAAGCACAAGGACCTGAGTTCAATCCCCATTATCAAAAAAAAGAAGATATGATAGAAAATATGCATCCATGAGGCCAATTTACAGACTAAACGGCCATTAATGTTATTAATAGATCTTTAGGTTCCTAAAATAGTCAATACCATTGCCAAAAATGTTGGCAATGTTTTGTTTTATTTTTTGAGACAAGGTCTCACTATGTAGTTCAAACTGGCCTTGAACTCACTATGTAGCTCAGGTTGGCCTCATACTCATCTTCCTGCCTTAGTCTCCCAAGTGCTGGGATTACAAGAAGGTACCATCAAACCCTAACTTGCAAGTTTTTAAAAAAATAATAATTGGTGAAGAGTTTGCAGGAAGTTACTATTTGTTAGTAAGAGTGAACATTTTATATAACTCAGTATACAATTTGATACAGTATGTGTTTGGAAAGAAATTTTTAATTTATCACAATTTAAAATGTACATACACCTTAACATGAAAACTCTACTCCTGGTTTTCTTACAAAATCTTACAATCTTACAAAAATATTTCAAAAGAGCATAAACAAATGCAATAGTAAGCAGGGGTGGTGGCCTAAGCCTGTAATTCCCACACTTTGAGAGGCTGAGGTACAAGGATCACCAAGAGTTCAAGGCCAGCCTGGGGTACACAGTGAGACCTTGTCTCAAAAAACCAAAAAGAAAAGAAAGAAATTTGGTAGTTAAAAATTGGAAGTAATGTCAGGTTGAGAGTGGCTACTTATGATACACCTACACAAGGATCTGTAATGAGACACACACACACACACACACACACACACACACACACAAAGAATGAAGTAGACTAATATGTACTGATATGAAGAATGCATCCCATAATATTTGAATGGGGGAAACAAAGTACAAAACGACATTCATCGTCAGCAGCGTTATTCATAATTGGCTGAAATGGGAACAATACATATGCCCACCATCAGTACAATGGATTGTGTTAGACCACGTTATGGTAATATGACACAGCCATGAGTAGAAATGATCTTATTGTCACATGCAACAACATGAAGAATACTACAAATATAATTTAAGTAACAGAAGCCATATACAAAAGAATATATACTAAATGTTTCAACTAATATAAAGCACAAAACAGGCAAATGGACCTAAATAGTTAAAAGTAAGAATAATGGATACCTATGGAAGAAGAGGGTAATAACTAGCAGGGTATCTTTAAGGAGTTTCTGGCTTCTACTCCTGGATGTGTGCATTGAGTTATACAGGTGACTTTTTACTGTTCTTCAAGAAAAGCCAAAATATATGCACAGTATGACCCCATTATTTGAAAGTATGTAAGTACAACTCTAAGTCACAGCTTCTGCATTCATAAAATAGGGGTAATAAAAGTATCTCATAGGATCTTTGCATCCAAAATAAGTGCATATAGTAAGCATTATGTAAGTGTCTGCATTATTGTGGTTGTGCACATACAACCCATATATAAATTTATTTTTAAAATAATACACTATGGGCCAGGCATGGTGGTGCACACCTATAATCCCAGCACTCAAAAGGCTGAGGCAGGAGGATCGCTGTGAGTTCGAGACCAGCCTGAACTACATACTGAGTTCCAGGTCAGTCTCAACTACATAGTGAGACTCTATCTCCAAAAAAAAAAAAGAAACAAAAATAATACACTATGCTTCAATGAATTTAAATGAGACATTTATAAACAATAGTAGTAAACAAGGCATTTGGATTGGAAAGAAGTAACTTAAGTTTTCATTTTCTACCTTACTAATTTCACTTTTGTTTCAGTTTACTACAACAAATACCATGTATTAATCATGCAATTGATATGCATAGAAATAATATGCTTAATTACTTCAAAATGTCCCACAAAATTCACTATGACAAAAAAGCACTCATTCTATGGCATTTGAATTTTAAAGCAAATATAATTAAAACTAAGTACCTACACATAAGAACCAAAAGATGGAAAACAAGCAAATCACTGTATTTCTTTGAGTGGAGAAATTATGATCATCTCACCATAGCTTTTATTAAAAATATAGTTATGTGTTTGCTTTTCAAGAGTAGCTTTACAGACACACCA